TTAGCATAAAATATACTTTAATTACACCGTGAAAGGCTGCAGCCAGCATTAACAGGAGGAAGTTTCACTGTGTAGAAGTGCTTCTCTAAAGGCTCAGATGGGCCTAAGCATCCTCCAGGGATACCCAGAACCTCAAAAGTTCAAATCTCTCCAGACACAACCCAAGGACCCAAGACCCTGGGGGGAAGAACCAATGGAATTTGAATCATGAGGTCTTGAAGGGAGAGAAAAAGAAGGGAGGAGGCGAAGAAAAGGGAGAGGGGAGGGGAGACACTGCTCCATGGCTGTACAGTTAGGCTACTTATGAAATATTAAGCAAGACACTGTTAGGAAAAGAAAAAATAAAGAAATGTCTGCATTCTACTCGGGAATCAATGTGTGTGTGTGAGCAACTAAAATGTACTTTCTTTCTGAAAATGTACTGAACATATATTCTCTTGGGTATTAAAAGCCAAACTCAAGGGTTACATAACTAGTTGGATAAACTTAAATAATTAATCCCCAAACCAAACTATCCAGGAAATTAGATGACTTCATCCAGCCTTAATAGGCTAAGTACGTTTTGAATCTTCAGGATAGAGATGTAGAATGTAGTACAGTATTTACTAGTTTTTGTATGACCAGAGAATCCAGCTGACGCAAGACTGATCTCTACCAAATGCACTTGGAGGAAACTCTGGGCCACACCGTGCCAATCTGCACCTGCGGAGCCCTCGTATTTCTAACATGGAGGTCCTCAGCTGGTGTCACTGGGATCACCTGCAGGCCTTTCATGAGCAGGCAGGTCTACATGGATTATTCTGATGCAGAGCTGCTCTCACGTGTATGGAGGCAAATCCTTAAATGTATTCCTAAGGAGTAATTATTTTCATTCCATACCCAACATGCACAACACCCAGGAGTGAGCCAGCTCTCAGCCACATACCCTAATAGGTAGATGTCTTGGTTGAACCAGGTATAAGCGCTATCATCTTGGATAAGTCACCAAGTCACTTTAAGTGTCCCTTCTGCGTCTCTTTCCCAACCCACCCCTCCACGCAGGGTCTGGAAGAGCAGGTGTTCCCAAGCAGAATCCCTACATTACAATTTCTGTCAGGTACAGTTCTGGTTAGTAGATAACATTGGGTCGTCAGAAGTCGTGACGCATTTTTCTGTTTTTTATGCAAAGAAGCGTCATGACTTTTTTGATGACCCAGTTTATCAGCATCCCTAATAAGGTGGAGAGTACAGTTTTGGAGAAGGTTTATAACTGAGCTGGACAAGTACAAGCTAAAGCTTTCTCTCCTCTTCTTCTCCATCACTCATCATGAAGGTGACAAATAACTAATTAAATAAAATAAACTAGGTAACACACATACACTGAGGCCTTGTAGAGACCTAATGTTCTGCCAGCCCCAAATCCATTCTCTGCCATTTCCTGTACCCAGAGACTGACCATTCAATGGATGGCATCACCCAGTCTGCCCCACCTCTAACTTACAGTGGGGTCACAGGAAACACCACCAGGAGCTGAAAGTCAGGCCCTACTCCATCCCCGCTTGGAGCTGCTTCAGGCGGTGCTTAGGTCCCTTCACCCCTGTCTGGAGACTCCTCCATTATAACTCAGCTCCCACTGGGTTTAGCTGTCCTCTTTTCTGCCCGGGCCTCTTCCTTTCTTGCTATTGTTGCTGGTTGATGCACTGTTGAGCTTCTTAATGCTGCTCACATTTCTACAGCCCATCCATCCAGACAAGTTTCCTGAGCCATCTGAACTGCACTCTGCCTCCTGCCTGCCAGGCTCTGGCTGATGGCACAGCAGCCCATCTCTGGTCTCGTGATTACTGCTCCAGTGTGTCCATCCTGAGCCAAAGGGAATGTGGGCAACCTACATGCATGCATCAGAGCACACATGCAAATACACATAGTCAGAGACAACGTGGCCCGAGGGTTCAAACATGCCGTTTTAATGTAGCGTGCATTAAAATATATGTACTGAGTCAGAGCTCTAAAGCCCCCACTGCAAAATAAGCTACAGCCTAGGAAGGGCAATCAATATTCATATTAGGGCCCTTACTAAATGTTTTCTGGGCTTTTACTGTAGTTCATGAAGCCTTCAATTGCCAGGATTTAATTTCTATCAAATAAAATTGCCAAATTCAAACCGGTAATAGTTGAAGCCACTGGTTATCATGGCAGAGCCCTCTGGAAGGGGCCATAACCCCAAACCCAGAGTCCATCTCCAACTCTGCATGCTGGAGAAGGAGTTTTGCTTTCGTTACAGAAAAAGGCAGGTCATTTACAGGTTTAATCAGAGTTATTACAAGTACTGGGCTTACTAGTGAGGTTACAAAGAGCCTGTGGTTCTCCCAGCATCACTAGAATCCGTCTCTGTAATGTCCTGGAGGCACCGAAGACCAGCAGACTCAGGTGGGCCCTTTCTCCATGGAATGGCCCATTACTGCTACTCCTGCACTTCGCCTACCCAACTGAGACTGGCTCAGGACTCCAGGAAGACGTGCACAGTCAGTCATTTTGATCAAACCCATCAAGACTTTCTCATTTTGAAATCCAAGAAAAGACATGGATTTATGGCAACAGTGATTCCTGGCTGCCTCCAGGGTGCAGCAGAAAACTGCATGAAGCTGAGACCTGAATTATCCCAAGGGCATCTCGCGCCTTCCTTGGATCAAGTTTTGGAAGAATTCAAAGCCATGTCTCTAGAGGCCAAAAATAGATAAATGAGCATTGCTGGGAGAGCCTAATGTGATTCAGCCTTTCTGGAATACAGTTTGGCAGCACCTATCAAAATCCTTAAAAATGTCCATACTCACTGACTCAGCAATTCTACTTGTATAAATACTCTAAGGAATTTATCAGATATATTTTCAAAGATATCTCTACAAGGATGCTCATTATAACCTGACTTAAAATAGCAAGACAGATCAATTGAATATCCCAAAATAGGGAATTGGTTAAAAATGTTACTGGCATTTCTACTTTTTACATTATGGTGAGCTATAAGAACAACCCTCTCACTCCAAATTTTCAGACAAAAAAATAATAAACATTGCCTTTGGTGCATTGCTAAGCTAGCAAGGAAGTAAGGACTTCCAGGAGGCCAAGAAGAGTGGTCTGAGAAGTTTTAGAACTCCCTCTGGTTGACAGCGCACTGGTTGGATCAAGCAGAGATAACACCAACCCAGGGAGAGGAACTAACAAAACATTCACATCTCTTCTCCCCATCCCTGTATAAGGTCGAGACCTCCTCAGGAATACATTTTCAGTGTCACTGTCCCCAACAGGATAGCACAAGAACTGTCTGTTTTGACTTTTGTACTAGTGAAAATGGAAAGAAACCCATTCCTTGAACTGGTCTGCACAGTCTGGCTTCACTGTATTTGAGGCCTGTAGTTTAATTCTCTGTGGGGCTGATGGACAGAACCTCATGTGGAGAATTTCAAGTTCACTTAACTATTCTGAGAGAAAGGGTAGGGAAATAGAGAAACAGGCACCCCCAACAGAGTCTTTGTGCTGGGAGCCATACCCAGCCTCAGCCAGCCAGGATCACAGGCATGTGCACACACCCAGTGTGGACAAGGTGGTCCCACAATGCAACTGGGCACCTTCCCATGTAAGTCCAGCTACACTGCCACTGCACCGCCACCATCTGACCCCACGCAGAGACCTGAATTTAAGCCGTGCTGAGTTCGTGAATCCACAGTTCCCCTTGCTGATGAGGTCTCCAAAGGCCTGGCCTCGACAAACCCAAGTCCCCTCTAGAGGAACTGAACTTCAGCTGTCCTCAAAGAATTCCCACAGGTTAGGTTATAAAGAATATTACAGGAGAGAATACTACACTTAGTAATAACTAAATATATATCCGGAATCTCTAAATATCCACAGTATTTCATTATGTCACAAAATGTTATAAAGCTATAAGAAAATGATGGTCCATACCTGAAGGCTATGCAGTAAACATGTTCCCAGTTGTTAAAAGTCAGTAAGGACAGGATTGTATTCATTATAACTGTATGTGTGTATATATATGTATATACATTCACTATAACTATATAATTTATTATATAATTTTTAGTATTTTCCAAATTGTATCCAATACGTACAAACTTTTGAAATGAGAATGTTATTGAACAAAACTTAACCTGGAAAAGAACAGCCTGACCTTTAAGAAGACCTTTGATTCCTTTTGTGATGTCTCTGGCTTTCCTAAAATAAAAAGAAGCATAGGACCAGTAGGCGGCCTGGCAGTTAGGGCCAACCACAGTGCCAGTCCTAGACCTGGTGACTTGAAATCACAACAATAAATGGAAAAATGAGAAAAGAACATCATGAACTTTAAGAAGACCTTTGACTCCCTTTGCGATGTCTCTGGCTTTCCTAAAATAAAAACAAGCATGGGGCCAGTAGGCGGCCTGGCAGTTGAGGCGCTGGAGTCCCCTTGGGCCAACCACAGTGCCAGTCCTAGACCTGGGGACTTGAAATCACAACAATAAATGGAAAAATGTTTTAAAAAATAAACACAAGAGAAGCACGGAAGAGAGCCCCGTATGACATATACTGTTCCTGGTCATGACTAGGAGGACTCAGAGTGAGAAGGGAAGGGGAAAGCTCAGCGCCCTCTCCTTCCTCCACCCCTCTCTCTGTGCCCTGCTACGCTTTATTTCCCTTCAGAGCAAATGTCACCAGCCAGCACCTATACTACTTATGTCATGGTCACCTTTTTTTTTTTTTAAAGAGAGATTTTTTGCTATAGGGTGCATGTGCTCACCAGAGAGGCAGAGAGAGACAAAGAGACAGAAAGCAAGAAATCACCCCCCAGGAGGGATGCCATGCCACAATCCCTTCTCCTTCGGTCTCCTCTTGGGACTTTGGGCATACATGCACATGCCCAGTATGAGTTTTAAGCCACCAGGTCTGGGACTTGAACTGTGGTCGACTGCGTGGGAGTCCAGCGGCATAACCATTGCACCACCTGCTGGTCCCAGGGGTTTCCTTTTTGTTACCTGTTTCTGCTGTCCATCATAAGCCCATGAAGGAGAGGGCACTGTCTGGGGCGCTGCTGCATCCTGAGCACCAAAGACTGGGCTCAGGACAGAGTAAGTGCTCACGCAAGCTGCAGTGAATAAGTGAGGGGGCAGGAAAGGGGAGCGTGTGGGCCGAGCATCGCCACCTCCGGGGCACTGCTGTGAGAGCATGGGGCAGCCCTGACACCACGCGAGGCTGGACAGAGACCTGAACCAGGGTAGAGGGCCACACATCATGGTCCTGAGAGCGAGGAGGATGCTCCGAGGAGATGCGAGCAGGGTCACACGGGCAGGGTCACACGGGCGAGGACAGAGCACAGAGCACAGAGCACAGACTGTGTCTGTAGTGAAGGATGGGTGTGACAGCTGAGACAGCCGTGATGACAGACAGGCAAGGGGAAGGCTGGGCCAAGCCCAGGGCAGGACCAGGCACACCCATTCAGTCAGGGCCCAACTCCCTGCCCTGCAGGGCCGGCACCACGGCTTGGAGCGGGCGTGAATCCTGCCCAGCAACCGCTCTAACCTCTAGAGACACAATGTGGACAAGACGGATGAAGGCCCTTCCACATGGAATTTATATTCTAACACGAGAGGCGCTGAAAACCAGAACACACACACAAAATACCCTCAGGTAGTGTTTAGTGATGTGAAGAAAAAGAATAGTGAGGAGGAAATAAAAAGATTACTGAAACATTTAAAAGGTAAAAATGGCAAGACAAGGTAACCATAAGGCTACTAGGAATTTTTTTTTTTCATTTTGTGGATGTGAGAGAGATTTTTTTCTGTAGAGCACTTGTGCTTGCCTGAGAGACAGAGAGAGACAAAAAGTGAGAAATCACCCCCTGGGGGTATGGCCATGCTTGCAACCCCTTCTCTCGAGACCTTGGGCACGCATGCATACACACCTGCTGTGAATTTGAAGCCTCCGGATCCAGGACTCAAACCGCAGTGGACTACACAGGAGTCCAGCAATGTAACCATTATGCCATCTGCTCGTCCTTACTAGGAATTTTTAAGAAAACTTACTGTTGACTTTGTTGCTGAAGTAAAGTATGCATCTTCTGGAAACTCTCGGTGGAGATTCCAGAGAAAGGCCATCCCAGACGGCCCAGAGGGAGGATTCCCCAGCCCACAGCTCAAGGCCAGTTAGCAGACATGTGGCCGTTCCCAGTCCAGGGTTGCCATGGGCGTGCACCATCCAGTGGGGTAAATGGTGGTGGGATACACTTGCCCAAAACCCTTGCCTGTGACTCCAGAGTGGGAAGCTGATCTTCGACAACCTGGTTCTGCTATTAGTGGCCTGATTTTAAATAACATCTCGGCTTGCTCAGAAAACTGAAACTTCTGGGTCCAAGGCATTGTCTCCAGTGCCAGACCTTCCTTAGATTCTACCAGTGCAGGCCTTTGAAACACTCTGATTAGTGCTATTTTTAGTTCTGGGGGTGGTGGAAAGAGAGGAGCCATCATGGGAGGGAAGGAGGAGCTGGTTAGTAAGCATCTGGCTAAGAGACACAGCGTTTTCTTTTAAAGGCATGTTTGTAGGTTAAGAGATTCAAAACAACACATTATGTAACAACTTTCACATCTCGAAGAAGTCGCCTTAACAAGTGGCCGGTGCACGTCTGGCTGTGCGTGTTTGGCGTTAGTCCTGTGACCCTGTGTGTCTCTGCAGGCACACCAGGGCCAGGGGCCAACGCGGGTAAACGGGCAGTTCCTCCAGGATGAAAGGAAGCAACGGCCCTCACTGTTTTCATACTCAGCAGCTCCGAGAGAAGGGCCCTGTGTACACAGCTTGTTTTGCATCCTTCCACTTGTAATCGCTGCACTTAATTTATCCCGGCAGGCACAAACAAACAGGAAATGGCAAGAGGTAAGGAAATCACAGATTCTGAATCTAGTAACGGTGTGTTTAATGAACATCTGAAGTCACAGAGGACATGCCCTTCCCATGTTCACACTGTCCAAATGTACAGTTCTTGTGTCTTCCAGCCTCCTCAGGGCCCTCGTGGGCACAGCACACGCCGCTTGCCAGCTGCCAGCGTTTCAGAACCTGGCCCACGGGCACTCCGGCAGGCACCCTGCTGAAATCACCATCAGGACCTCAGCCTCTGTGTCAGCCCCTCTTGATTATCAGCACAGCAAACGGACCGAGCAGTCAAAGACCTGATCATTTACGGCTCACCCCCACAAGGCGAATAGAGATGAAGGACAAAGAGGTACAAATCAGATTTGGAGGCTGGAGAACAAGGGGCAGAGGCTCCTATAGAATGTCCTAGAAGAAAGCCAGATGGGTGGTTTCAGCTGCGCTGTTTTCCCAGTGGAAGGGGGAGCCCAGGATGTCAGCAATCTGCTCTGTCAGCCACCACTGACAGGCTCCAATGCCCAGCTGGACCCCTGAGTCATATTAAATAGGGACAAATGAAAGTTCCACCTGCCTCAGTGACAAACAGGGGGTCTAATCACAAGGACCTCATTTACTGAATGTCAACATGTGTAGTATATGCTGCAAGCTTTATTTCACTTAACCCTCACAAATACCCTTTAACGTAAATGCCATATTAGACTCACTTTAAAGATGAGAAAAATCAAGGCTTATGACTGGGAGTCAACGGCCCAGTGTCACATGACTAGTGAGTGACAAAGCTCAGACTAGAAATCAAGGTCCATGCTTTTAACAACCTATTGTTGGGCCAACTCTGTAGCCTGGTGGTTAAAAGAAGCCTGATTCCACATGGCTGACCACAGTTCAAGTCCTGGCCTAGTGACTTGAAAAACACACCAGGCACGTGCACATGCACCCCAAATCCCAATAGCATGGAGCAATGGAGGAGGGATGTGGTGTCCCTCTGGGGTGTGCTTTCTCCCTCTCTCTTTCTGAGGACATACCATCTAGCGATTTGAAAAAAATAACCTGTTAGTTCATGATGCTGAATGTACAGATTGTCTCAAGTCAAGAGACCAGAGGTCCCTTGTGCAGCTGGCATCTTCTGAAAGATATGGGTGGTTGGCCAGGATCACTTAACAGGGCCTTGCTCAAGTTGTCCTAAGTCTCCTCAAAGCACAAAGGCAAGATGACAATGATGTCACAGACAGCTCTGTTGCATATGGAATTCCGCTGTGACTACAAAGATCCCACAAAAATCTTTCCTTTCCTGTGTGGTCTCCCCTGCAGTGTGGCGGGCAGCTGTTCTCATGAAGAGGTAGAGAGTACTTCTCCCACCTCAGATTTGAACTTGGTCATGTGATTGGCTGTGGCCAATAAGAATTTAGTAAACTGTAGGCAAGTGGAGACTTGAACGGTCTGGACTCAAGATCACACTGTCTCCTGCTCAGGAATCCTGGGTCAACCTCTCTGGAGACAAACCCAGGCTAGTTAGATGGAGGATGAGGCACACTCAGCCAGTTCATCCCCACTGCCCCAGCAATACCAAGCCAACTGCCAGTAAAGTGAATGAAGTGGTCTGAGACCATGCAGTCCTGGCCAAGACCCCAACAATGTCAGTGGACATCAGCCATGAGAGCCCAGACCATGGAAACGCCCCACCTGACTCATAAAATTCAGGGAAATGACAAATGTCTGTGGTTTTCGGCCACAAAGTTTTTGAGATTTTGTTATGCAGCACAGATCAGCTGGCATGAGTATTGAGAAAGCAAAGCTCTGATATCTCTGCAGTGTTGTCAGTAGTGCAGTGTGACTCTGGCCACATTCCTCACATCTAAGCCACACTGCTTAGGTAGGCCTGCTGAGAAGAGAACCTGCTCTAAATCCAGGACAGAAAGCACAGTGTATGGCTGCTTTGTACTGTATTGTCTTCGGTCTATCTCATTCTCCAAATTTTTTAATTGGGTGCCTTTCCCAGGGTGGTTCCCAAGCCTGGCTACAGCACAGAAGAATGATCTGAGTGGCTTCTAACAAACACTGATGCACTAGACTGCTCCTGAGAGATTCTAACTTCATTGGTGTGGGGTGAGGCTGCAGCGTGGCTGGTTTTATTTTCTAGATCAGACTAGAAGGGTCTGAATGCCGTCTCTGTCATGAGTTAACAGTTATGCTATACTTCTACTTGTTCTTTCTAACGTGGGCTATCAAGAAACTTTAAAAATTCATCCCTGGCCCATTCTATGGACTAGTAGTTAGGTCAACCAGATCCCACATGGCTGACTACAGTTCAAATCCCAACTCTGGGACTTGGAAGGCATGCCAGATGCATGTGCCCATATCCTGACAGGATGGAGAAATGGAAGAGAAGGAACTGCAGCCTTTTCTGAAACACCATTTGATTCTCAGTATTTGGAGGCCCAGCACGTTTTGAGTAAAGTTCCCTTCCAGCCCTGAAAGTATGATTACACAGTAGTTCTCAACATTCCAAGCTCAGTGATCAACACCCGTTTCCTCTCCTGAGGTTAGATGACCAGCCCCGCCTTACCTGTTGTCAGCACATAGTGTTTTCCTGTTTCGACTAAAATGTATTTTCTGAGGAAAAGCCAGGGATGAAGACTTTTCAAAGGCCAGACAGTGGCATAACAAAATGAAAAATTTAGCAAAAATTCTGACCCACATGGGAAGATTCTGGGTTAGCTTCAAGAGACCTGAGTGTGCTAGGCATGTGCGTGCCCATGATGCTGGGCCAGGTGGGCTGGGGGTGAAGAGTGGCATCAAGACTCTGTTGGAGGTATCTCTCTCTTTCACTGTCTCTCTTTATTTCATGGAAGAAACAAATAAACTTAGAAGGGGAAAAATTTTTTTCAAGCCTATCATTACATATATTAGATACTTGTTAAGTATTAAATGATAAATGGTGAATGATTAAATGAATGAATGGGTGAGCAGGTTCTATGGTTCCCCTTAAGCAGTTTGTTAGTTACAGAAATAAATACCCCAAAAGAACCAATCATCCACTTTGTTTCAAATGACAGAATCTCATTTTTTTTTTATGGCTGAGTAGTATTCCATAGAGTATATGTGCCACATTTTTTCAATCCAGTCATCTATTCTTGGACACGTATGCTTATTCCAGGTGTTAGCAATTGTGCAAATAATAATGCTGAAATAAACATGGATATACAAGAATCTTTCCAACTGAATGTTTTTTATCCTTAGGTTAAATACTCAGGAGTGGGATTACTGGATCATATGGTAGTTCTATTTGTAGGTCTTTGAGGAACCTCCATAGTGTTCTCCACAGTAGCTATACTAATTTACATTCTCACCAAAAGTGAGTTCCCTTCCTCTGCAGTCTCACCAGCCTTTGTCATTCTTTATTTTTTTATCATAGCCATTCTGACTGGGGTTAAATGGTACCTCCTTTATGCTAAGCAAAGCAAGCCAGACTATGAAAGACAGACTTTGTACATCCCTGATCAATATATACTGAATATCTGCATATGGCAGAAACTAAAATATTGAAAACTATAATAGCAGAGACAACAAGTGTAGATACCAGAAACTATATAGGAGGGGGGTAGATAGTTGGGGATAGGAGGGAGGGACTCAAGAAAAAAAAAGAACATCTATCAGACACAAGAATGAAGACTTATTGTGTATGATAATATTTTAGACTTGCTTGACAATGCATTTATGCTTTGAGAATCCATATGCTGTAAAAATGTACAATAATTACATGTGAACAAAAAAGTTTTTTTAAAGATAAATTTTTAGATGATTACATATCAACAAAAAAGTTTTTTTAAAGATAAATTTTTAAAAAACAGTCAATCAATTTCTAATGGGAAAGACTTTCTGAATCAATCCTATTTCAATCATCTAGTATCAAAAACTTCTCTCAAATACCACATTAAAATTTACTAAGTTAGAGACCAGTAATAAACACATCATGGTCTAATTATGTCATTTCATGGCATTTACTAAACATCCACACCACACTTTCCAGGGAGTTCTGCAAGGGAAAAAGTCTAATTTAAGTAATTTTCCAAAAGTCACACAACTAAAAACTTGTGATTTAAATCAGGAATCTGATCCCCAGAGCCTGAACATCATAATCCCAAATTTCCTGATCTTTCTCTTAGGAGGAGAATGGTAATATTTCTGAGATGAAAGACTGACACGTAAGCCATGACTTTAAAACACCTTAAGAAGAACAATAATACACATTTTTAAATGAACCATTTCAAAACAATAACCCTCCAGTTATTATGAATAATTCTAATTTAAGTGTCAATGTTCTGTTTCATAAAAACATGGAAAATCTAAAGAAAACAAAAACTCTTGTAATCACAATAACCAGCAGAAACCACCATTATATGTTTTTTTCACTGCAATCATGTATCTGCTTATGTTTTATAGTTAGGAAATAACTGACTTAAAATTAAAAGAATTTTATCATCTCACTACACATTTT